AAGCCGAGGCGGCTTTTTTCAGCTCAAAAAGTGGGCTGAAAAACTAGGCTTATACTTGAGTATATACAGTATTTATTTTAACAACTTTTACTACTACATTTCAGAGCTGAGGCGTCTTTCTCAAAAGGGAACATACTTTAAAGTTAGTGATGAAAAGAATGCAAAGTGTACGCTAAGAATCACACAGAAACAAAATTCATCCCCAAGTCCTCTTTTAAATGACCACAACTTTTACATTCTTGTTTTTAAGACCAGATTTTGCAAAACAAATGCAAAAGCAGGTTTTTTTTAGATTCCAGTTCAAGACAGTCTGCAGAGGAAGTAGAAATTATATCTTTGAAAGAGAATTATGGAGCCACAAAAGCCGACTGAGAAGGTTTTGTCTCATGCCTGCCAATTTAATGCCCTGCAAGAAGCACGGTGACCCATATTTTTGTGGCCAATCTCAAAGGCCAGTTAGGCTTAAATATTTGAAAGAAGTACTTTAAAACACCCAGTTACAGGATGCTTAGCATTTTATTGGTACTCGTTTAATTCAGTTATTAGCATGTTTTATTTATCTGATGCTCCACAACCCTGGATAAATGCATCTCTCCTGGAATCCTTTCATTATGGTGATTACCATAATGATAACTCTTTTGTTTCTGGAGCTTCCTGTTTTTTTCCCCTTTTCCTAGAATATTGTTTTTGTTTTAGTTTGTCCTCTTTGATTCAACTTTAAATAGCTTAGCTCAGGAGTGTCCAACCCTGGCAACTTTAAGACTTGTGGACTTCAAACCCCAGAATTCTCTAGCCAGCATGGCTGGCTGGGAATGCTGAGAGTTCAAGCTCACAAGTCTTAAAGGTACCAAGATTGGAAATCCATGGCCTAGCTCTTTAAACTTAATTTACTCCTCATTTTACGCATGGAGGATTGAAGGAGGTGGATGATTACTTCTACTCCCTTGTCTCCTGGCCTTAGCCATATGGCCTTCAAAGGTCTATTTGGGGATGGACTGCTATTGGTTTGCCCGAGTTCGGGAAAACCTGTAGCTAACATTATGGCCGGTTTAGAGGGTTCCACCACAAATCCGCAAAGCCCTTATCTGCGGAGACATAAGCGCGAAGACTAATTCGCGCCGTTTGAAGCGCTAAGGAAAAACGCGACCCTACCGCGATGACATAATCACGGAGGGCAAATCCGCGCATTTCCAAGCACTCAGTACCCTAAACCTAACCCTAAACCTAACTCTAAAACAACTAAAACCCTTACCTTAATTGAAATTGGCTTTCTGCTGTGGCGCCGTTTTAAAGCGCCCTTCTGTTGCCACGCTGTTGTCGCGGCAGTGATGACGCGCGGCGATGACATCGCGGCTTTAGCGACGAGCTTATGTCTCCGCGGATAAGGGCTTTGCGGTTTTGTCGTGCCGCGGGTTTAGAGAACCTCCAAATCCCACCCCTGGCTGGCCCCACACCTCCCGCCCCAACCCTCCCCTCCCAAGAGTCTTCACACAGCCTGTTTTGGATACCAGGTAAGTGCAGGGCCTGCGGAGAGGTTCGAGGAGGGAGAAAATGGGCCTCCCAGAAGTTCGGAAGCCTGGAAATGGGTCAGTTTCTGACCTCTGAAGCCCGGAGGGCAGTTTTTGCCATCCTCAAGGAAGGCCTCCAGAGCCTGGAGGCAAGTGCAGGACCTGCGGAGAGGTTCGGGGAGGGGGAAGGCGAAAATGCTCCCTCCCGCCTCCCCATGGTGCAGGAGGCCATCTAGGCCATGCCCACCATGGCCACGCTCACCCAGCAACTGGGCAGAGAAACCATTACTGGAATTTTTGAAGCCCACCCCTGGGTCCATCCCACGAATGGAATTGTTGCAACAGCAAGCTCCATTCTTTGGATGAATGCAACCTTTGCTTTGTATCCCTTGGGAAACCCCAGGCTGTGAACAATGCCAGGCCATTGCAAGTAGCCTTGGTCCAGATGTTTCTCTCAGCAATGATCTCTGTGGAAAGCTCTTAGTTTCAGAAACTATCATGGTTGCTTTGTCCTTCTTCCAAAGACCCTACAATCAACACAATTGACAGGACATCCGGCCATTAAACACACTGCTAGCTCCATTCATTTGCCCAGACTCCACCCCACAAGGGATTATGGGGTTGTTAAATGAGGATGATCATCACACAGGTTGTTGTTCTTCAAGATACTAAATCATATCGAGTTCTTGTCAACCTCATGGACCATAGCCACACCAGGCCCCACTGTCCTCTACTGTCTCTCAGTTCATTGGGTTGATGACACTATCTAACTATCTCATCCCTTCTCCTTTGGTCTTCCATCTTTCCCAACATTGTGGTCTTTTCCGAGGCGTTCTCTCTTTTCATTTGGTGGCCAAAGCATTTGAGCTTCAGCATCTGTCAGTCAAGGTTGATTTCCTTTAGGATTGACTTGATTCAATCTCCTTGCCGTCCAAGGGACATTGAAGGATCTTCTCCAACATCGCTGTTCGAAAGCATCCATTCTTTGGCGCTCAGCCTTCCTGGTGGCCCAACTCTCGACAGTCAACACATTATTTCTGGGGAAACCATTGAATGGAAAGAAGGAGTGTAGAAATATGATTAATATATCTCATTATGCCCAGTATTTATTTTTCTCCCAGTCCTATTGTTCAATACCAGCCCTGCCCAATTTTTGCAAATGAAACACCAACACATTTCAAAGGTCATTTTTCTCCCTGGGCATATGTAGGATGGGATTAAAAAGTTAGATTTGTTGCTCTAATACATGGGCACATGTCTGCCCTTCAAACAATTCTTTAGTGTTACAGCTTTTGTGTTAAATACTCCCGGAAATCTGTTTGCGAGGTTTTTTGTTGGTTTTTTTTGCATGAGGAAGAAAGCAACACGAATGCTGGCATTTTGTGTAGCGTTTTCTGCAATGAAAAGCATTTCCTAGGAAAATAGGTTTACTTACCATAGGTTTCTAATTAGTGCCCCCTAATAAAAACAGACAATTTCCCCCGAGGCTGCTGTTAAAAGTAGAAGAAGGTAGAGAAAATGCTTGGTTTTAAAACTCTTCTCTGCTAATCGGATCATCTCCTTTGGTGATTTGTTCCCTGCAGAAATGGCAAAAAAAATGCATTTGCCATTCTGGATCTCAGCCAGGAAGGTTACAGGAGACAAGCAGTTTGGGGAAACAAAAGCATGTATGTAGAAGGGGTATTCTGCTGTTACATTTTTGCTGTTACTCCTTGAAGAGAATTTTCCATGTTTCCCAAATTTACCCATCCTACCAAAACTGGGATTGTGTTCATTGAATTCGTTGTTGTGATACCCCCCCCCCCAAAAAGGGGGGGGTCTCCAATCTTGTGGGAAATACCATCAACGTAAAATTGAGCTTGCTCAGAGGCTGAAATACACCATGTAAATGAGATGAAGAGTGTGGGAGAGAGATAAGAGGAAGAAGAGAGGGTTAGGAGAGAGGGGGGGGAGAAGAGGAGAGAAAGAAGGAGTGGAAAGGGGAGAGAGATAAGAGAAAGAAGAGAGGAGAAGGAGAGAGGAAGGGGAAGTAGAGAAGAGGAGGGTGACAGGGAAATAAAAGAGGTAGGGAGGGGGAGGAGAGAGGGAGAAGAAAGTGATGGATAGGGTACAAATATGGTGTATGGAGAGCAGAAGAGCCAATAATACTTCTTGTGGGTTGATGGTAAGACGAATTGACATAAATATTTAATAATACAAAATAGTGTCAGTTATGTAATGGTATACACGTGATTATTTGTATGAAAATGAAATTTTTTTTAAAAAAAAACTTTATTATAAAAAAAATCTTGTGGGGAATCAAGTGCCCTTGTTTCATATTCAACAAATCTTAATGAAAATGAACAAATTCTGGTTACATTTTAGTGATGCTAATTTCAAATTCAGAATCAGTGGCCATTTATCAGAACATATGCTGTTAGGATGGTTGTAATTCTAAGTATTGCTGTAGTCTTCTACTTTTAAAAAAAGCATAGACACATAAAGGTGACCTATGATCACAATTGAGCCTGAAATTAGTTATAGATTTTATCAGTTTGTAAGCAGGTCATCATGTGATTGCACCCGATTTTATGACTTTTTTCTTTTTGTTTTCGCAGTGATCGTTAAGCGAACACTGCAGTTGTTAAGTGAATCCATTCTTTGCAAGTGGTGGGGTTTTTTGGCTGGAAACTGGGCATAAACATCAGTGGGCAACAAAACACACTGTACATTGTGGCCACATGACTATAGGATGTTGCAAACGGCCATAAAGTTGGGCCAGTTGCTAAGCACCCAAATTGTAATCACATGACTCCCGAGGGGGGCGCAGCGATAGGATTTTTGGAATAGTGTTGTCGTAAGTATCCTGGGGAGGTCCATTGTAACTTAGAATGGTCGGTAAGTGGCCAGCCGTAAGTTGAGGACTACCTGTGTACACTATTTCCGTGGAGATTTGTGTAACATCTTTCCATCAGCATTAAGAATTTTATTATGAAAGACTATAGACTTGAAACCAGAGATATTTTTATTGGGTATTATACCGATAAAATATGATAAAAAAGACTGGTTTTACATATACTAACCAGAATTGTATTTGCACAGTATTTGGAAAAATGATGCAATTCCATCAGATGACAAATGTAATTAAGAAAATATTAGAATGCGCAGAAATGGATAGATTAACACTCACTATTAAGGACAAGGAGGAAACTGAATATTTTTTATATGGGATGTATTTTATCAATGGCTAGACAACAGAAACAGAAGTCAGAAAGGAAGAGACATAAAAAGAGGAAATATAAATGTGGAGAGTTGCTAAAGAAGATGTTAAGTATTATTGTTATTATTTTATATGAGCAATATCATTGTGATGAATACTACAAAAAATGTGGATTGTTTAAAATACTGTACCCAGATTACACACTATTCGATGAAAATTGAAAGTTATATAAATAAAAGAAATAAAACATGATTTAAAAAAAATAATTTTATTGTGAAAGACAATCCATGCCCCTTGGGGACTGTTATTATTACCGCCCTTACTAATTGTGTATTGAAATAAGGCTGCAAAGTGTTCAGCTTTGTTCTTTTAGAAAAATAAATTGTCTTACTTTTCTCTTTCTCTTTGTTTCTTTCGCCTTCTCTGATCGAAGTCTAGGAGAGTAAGTCAATGCTTTAATGGCTATTTAAATTCACAGTAAATTTGCAAATCTTGCCTTCACTGTCGTCACATTTCCATCAGGCTTCTGTATTTGTGTATGTTTGCCACAGGTATATACAGGCATCCCACACATGTATATCTTGAATTTTCATTCTAATTTCAAACCAAGAACAAGGGGGAAAAAAACCTGAATCGTTGGAAATATCATTGAACAATCAATATACATGTGGTTTACGTGCGTGTATATAGCTTGCTGGCTGCCATCTCTTTCTACATTTCTTACATAGGACATTTTGATTTTATTTTTTAACTACATGTGCTCAGATTTTTCATGCAGAGCTTTTCTGCACTGGAAGTATGCAAATAATCCTTTATCTGCTAAGCCAAAAAAAATAAGTAAATAATAAACATTCTGTCTCTCAGTCTTCTGTAAACAAAATCATTCTTTGTGCTGTAGCTCTATATAAATAAAGGAATTAACTTGAAACAAACGAGACAAAGAGCTAGTCAGAGGGAGGAAAATATCAATATATTTGTCCCTTTCTTTTTGTCTAGGATTCACAGAGCCGGCAAGGTGGATACAGCATGCATCAGCTTCAGGGAAATAAGGAGTATGGCAGTGAAAAGAAAGGATACATTTTAAAGAAAAGCGATGGGTATGGATTTCAGGCAGCTATTTTTGACAGATGGAGTGAAATGATTTTTTTTTAAATGCAAAACTCTCTTTTATATTCCACTAACTGATAACCCGGCGTTGTCCAGGTATTTATTTATAGGGGAAGAAATGTCTGGACCAAATGTAATTTCTAATGTTGGATTTTCCCCCTTACCAGAGGGAACCCCCTTATGGAGTACTGTGAAGCTATTACCATGGCGGCTCTACTGTGGTGTACAGTAGAAGCCACTTTACGGGCAGTAGAAGCCATTTAAGGCCACAACAGACTGCATCTTAACAGAACATACACCCTGAGGGGTGTTAGGGGTGTCTTACCCCCCGCAGTATTTGTCTCCAGAGAGTAAGTCATCTGTGTACAAAGTTTGGTTGAAATTGCTCAAGGCGTTCCAGAGTTATGCTGGAACACACACACACACACACACACACACATATATATATATATATATATATATATATATATTACATTACATTCTAAAACTTTCAGGGTTTGAAAAATTGGCTTCATTTAATGCTGGTGAGACCTTTTCCCCCGATTTTTTTCCAACCAAACATCTCACAGCAATTTAGGAGAGCCATGTGGTTGGTTGAGAACTAGGGCATAAATCTTTTTATATAGCTAATAAATAGCCATTATTTTAAGTTTATAATATAAAATACAAAAAGTACAAAAGCAAACAATAAGGAAAAATAGGGGAGGGAAAAGGGAAAAGAAAAGGGAAATATAGAAAAGTTGTAAGCCTTTTCAATGTTCATGCTTTATTTATTTAAAAAATAAATCAGCATGTATTGAAATAAGTTTTTTTTTTACCTAAGCTGGCACAACGTACACATTCCTGAAAAATAAAAACACACAATAAAGAAAACTTGACGTGATACCAAGCACTCTTAACCATAATGTCCCATTTCATAGCTGAGCACTGTGGAATCTCAAGATTATTTGCCCATAAATCAGAAAAATAAAACTGCATAGGAAGGCGGCCTGTTTTATTTTTGGTTATTGATCAGTCACAAATCCCCACCTCCTCCCCCCCCCAAAATCAATATCTTTCAACTTTCTTCCTAATTCTGATTAAGGAGTTAAATATAATTTAAAATTCAGCCCAAACTCCATTTATTATAACCCAGTGGAATGTGATAACTCACTCAGATGTGGGAAAATATGAGTAAACGTGTCAATAATTTTAAAGTTTGGTCTTTATCTTTTAATGAAATGCTTGTTGTTTTTGCATTATTTATTGATCAATTTAGTAGAAAGGCTGTCATCCCACTTTAAATTATTGCAGATTGCGATCTCTCTAAAGCAAGAGTGTCCAACAACTTTGGCAGTTTTAAGACCTATGGATTTCAATTCCCAGAATCCCCCAGCCAGCCACGCTTCGGGAACTGGGAAGTCCACAGGTCTTAAAGTTGCCAAAAGTTGTTGAACACCCCTGTTTTAGAGAAATCGGAATATGAACTTTGACAATCTTTCTACTATATCCGTGATGGCGAAACTGGCATGCGTACCACAGGTGGTACGCAGAGCCCTCTCAGCGGGCACGCAAACTGTTGCCCCAGCTCAGCTCCACCACGTATGTGTGCGCGCCTCCCGCTGGCCAATTGATTTTTGGATCTCTGCCACGCATATGCGGGGGAGTCGGGGGGGTCACGTGCGTATACACGGGGGCAGGGAGGAGCATGGGCGTGTGGCGTCCCCGTCCCCCGTGGCCTGCTTTTGGTCCTAGGAGGCTGCATGGAGGCCTGCTAGGCCGAAAACAGGGTGGGGGTCACGCGTACAATCGCAGGGGGGAAGGGTACACGGGTGTGTCACATGGGCATAGCATTTATGAGTGCGGGCGGGTGAGTGCAGGCGCTGTTGTACACGCTTTCAGCACACAACATCAAAAAGATTAGCCATCACTGCACTATATCAGTCAATCAATAATGCAAAAGCTTTGAACTGAAATTAGTAAGACTTCCAGGTGTGTGCCAGTAGGTGAGCCAGTAATTTCTATTAATAAAGGACTAATGATATTAGGTATAATGTTGTGCAGATTAAAACTAATCCAACTTTGCATCGGGAGGTGCAGTTTGTTGATGTTGACTGTGATCTGCAGTTCAGCGGTTCAAATCTCACCGGCTCAAGGTCGACTCAGCCTTCCATCCTNTGGGGGCAATATGCTGACTCTGTAAACCGCTTAGAGAGGGCTGAAAGCCCTATGAAGCGGTATATAAGTCTAACTGCTATTGCTATTGCTAGTTTGGCTAAACAGGTAGTAACCTGGCGGCCTGGGTTGCTGGAACCAGCAGTGGCCCAGGCCTGCCATGCCCCCAAACTGGTTCTCCTACAGAGGCGCCATCTTGTTTTTCGGTTCTGCGCATGCAAATTATTCACAAATGCGTAACGTACGCGGAGCGCACCAGCGAGGTGAACCAGCAGTAATGCTGGCAGCAACCCGGAGCTGAAGAAGCTTCCTGGATGAGAAACGAAACGTCTTCAAAGAAAAACCGGAAAGTCTCGTTGCCTCTTGAAGAAAACACCGCTAGGACATACTTTTCCAAATGCTGCTCTGAACCTGTGAAAGTTTGGCCCGGAATTTTCCCCCTGCGATTTATTTGGCCTCCGACGAATAAATCAAATCTTCTTGGAAGGTTCCGGGGCGAGGTTCTCTCATTGTGCATTGGGATACAACTCGGGTCATTTTTAAAACAGGATCTGGGTTGTTCTTCGCACGTCTTCCCAAGACGCAATCTCAAAGACCCTCCGACCTGATTCCGGGGAAGCCATCAAGGAAGGCATCCGTGGCACCAAACCAGAATGTTGGGTGGAGTTGACTTCCCAAGGGAGGAAACCAACTCTGGGGCAGGTGGAAATCCCAAAGGGCCCGGAGAATTGTTCAAGGTTAAAATGCCAAGGTGTTTTTAATCACGGTTTCTTTGAAAGAACGTTTCCTCTCTTTGTCACAAGAAGCCCTGAGAATGATAAGGAATGAAAACTTAAAAAAAAAATAGAAAGAAGGGGTGTGTGTGGCAAGTGGAGGAATGGTGTTTTCCACTGAACTCAAGAACCCTTGAGAGGATTTTGCTGGAGAATCTAGTTTGTTTTAGAGCTGTTATGTATAAATAAAAGAAATTCTATTGAGTGAGTGAGTACGTAGGTGCCTTTTGATCAGTGGTGGGTTTCAANGATGGACTTGCCTGGAAAAGCTGTTTGCTCCAACCTGTCCTTCCTATTCCTTAGAGAACTTTTTTTTTAATCACATCCTTATTATTATTTTCCCAGCTTTCTCCTTTTCCTTCGCTCCCAGCGGCTGACATCCGATCCTTTCTTCCCCTCCTAATTTGAATGACCTCCCCCACCACCACCACCTCTCTCTCTCTCTCTCTCTCATTCTCTGTGGGTCCGTTTTTCGGAGAGCCAGATGTTGAGACAAGGGTCTAAAAATAATCTTTTCATCTATCTTTCCTTGGAAAGCTGGGTGGCCGGTGAGGGGTGGGGAGACCTCCCCGCTTGGGAGCAATCGCAAGATCGGGAGCAGCAGCTCCAACTTGGAGCAAGAAACCTATTGGCAACACCGCAGCATCCTTTCTGGTTGCAGACTTGAACCCTTTTAAGGACAAATTGTCTGGGAGAGAACAGAATTTGACTTCGGCGGATTAGCTAACTTCCATTCCTGCCTTTCTCTTTTCTCCTGCAAAGAAATCTGGTGCAAATTCCATCCTCCACCAGGATTTGCAATTCTCATTTATTTTTTTGGGTGTGTGTGTTTTGTTTTTGACACAAAGACAGCTGAAAGAGGAGGTAGAATGGGGAGCAAGCTGTATTTTTGCACCAGGTTCTTTACAACGACTTTGTGCCTAATGTTTTTGCTCTCCCCGTCCTGGAACTATGCAAAGAGGCGCTGGAGAAGGCAACTGAAGGCTTCGCCCCTGAAGCCGGCGGAGAATTACGATGTAAGTAAACAGTTGCGGTCAAGGAAAGGAAAGGGGTAGAACAGGAATCCTCCGAGGTCACTTAGTCTGACCCTCTGCTGAAAGTGTAACAACATGTCTGGGGTGTAGGGTGCATAGTTAGGCTTGGTTTGGTGGTCTTTGAAGAGAGAAAAAAAACTCACGAGCCTTTCGATTTTCTCTCCAGAGAATTCAGCAATTCGAAGCATTCACAGTTGGCTCAGTTCTGTCAACATCTGTCTTCAGATTTTTCTCATGGTTCCATCGGAGTTTCCATCCCCATCACGACTTTGCTTGCCGTACATTTTCTCCGTGCTGAATCCCCCAAACCCAGAGACAAAACTTAAGTGCTTCTGGCTGGTGTTGAGTTTGGCCTGCCTGGCACACATCTGGAGAACTATTCTCTGCCAAAAAGGGATGTGGTCTAATCAAGTAAAGACCCCCTTAAAGAAGTATATTTCTTTCTTTCTTTTTATTTCACTTCTGTTTCCGCAAAGGGACAAGTTTGGTACGGTTACTCTATCCACTTATCTACTTATACCTAACTTTGGGGCAGCCTAGTAACTTCTCTGCTGTGATACTTCACACTTCTCTTTTTAATTAACAGTGGGGTCTTTGCGCTCTTAATTATCTTAGCCTATTGAATTGAAAAAAAAATGTAATAATTGTGGAATTTAGGGTGATCAATTGTGATTTTCTTTTCCTTACTTGCCCAGGGTGAGTTATAGTTGAGTTTACGCTGGGTTATGATGTGTTTATTGTGTTTTTAATTTATGGGTGGATGTTTTGATAGCTCCGATAACTGAAATCTTAGTTATCTATGCTTTCTGGACTGTTTTAATGTTTCCAGAAGTTAGATCAGAGGTGGGTTCCTACTAGTTTGGACCAGAGGTGGCACAGTGGTTAGGGTGCAGTACTGCAGGCNTAGATAGATAGATAGATAGATAGATAGATAGATAGATAGATAGATAGATAGATAGATAGATAGATGAAAGAAAGAAAGAAAGAAAGAAAGAAAGGGTATTTCAACTGACAATCGGAAAATAGATG